TCCCCACCCGCGACCCTGCTGCCTGCGGCTAGGCTGCCGGGGTGGGGGTGGGGTGCAGCGGGGGCGCCGCTTCCGCCCCTTCGGCCTTTCTCCTTGCCCTTGGGTCCGCTCTCCGTGGTGCCCCGGGCTTTGTGAGGGAGGACAGCCGAGGCTCTGGGGGCTGACTGCCCCTGGGTACCACGCTTCCGCACCCTTTGTCACTGAGAGTAAAATCTCAGCCAAGCTGCGGGAGCCAGGGGCCATTACTAACAGCCTCATCACCCTCCTGGTTGCCTGGAGTTTTAAAGGTAGGAGAGGAGTGTAGCTCTTTGATCTGGGTATCACTACTCTCAGGCTCCGGCTTGGAAATTTGAATTTTGAGGGAGTGACAAGAAGACGGCTCAGATGTTATTCATGGTGGGTGGTGTGGTGGAGTTGACAGTCTAGGGGCAGGAGGTGAGTGTCCAGGGGTAGGAGAAGCAGTAGGCAGCAAGTGTCCGGTGCTGATGGTACCTGCATCCCAGGCAGACCATCTGTATGGCACTGCCTGGACCCTGCCCAGCTTTCTTGGTTCCTGCCTTAGCCTCCACCAGTCCTCCTGTCCATTCTCTGGACTTCCAAATTAAATTCTCTCTCTGCTTGCATTAAGTAGAGACCCCTGTTCTTTGCAAATAAGAACCACTAGTTAATTTCTGCTACTTGTTCTGCTGACAGTAAACTCCGGTGCTGTGCAGTCAGCACCTCCTGCCTGCTGCACATAGTGGGAGTGGGCAAAGGGTCGGGGGTTCGTTTTTAGAAAGAGAATGGAGCAAATGCACAGTGAGAATCCGGCATAAGAGACTGGAGGACCCCAACGCTAACTCTAATTACCTTGAACCACATGTAAGACCGCAGAAGTAGAACAGAGCTGGCAAGTCAGTCCCTCCTCTCGCCTGCACAGGACAATCATTGGTTTTATTTTTTTCAGTTTTTTCCCTTAATGGAGGTGTTGGGGATTGAACCCAGCACCCCATGCACGCCAGGCATGCGAGTACACTCCCAGTGAGCTATACACCCACCCCTCACCCCGTGTCATTGCTTTTACATATCACAGCATAGCACACACCCTTTATCGCAGAGCACTAACTCCATCCTGAAAATCCTTCTCAACACAATTCAGGCATCAAACACCTGAAACTGATGTGAGATCTTGAAACCCATTTGGTATCTCTGACCAATAGGCTCGTAATTTCATCCCCAAATCTATATTTACAATTACTGTAGCCATTACCAAGTATGTGGCCTGGTATATTAAGCTGATATGTGCTCATAATAAGTCAGAGTCTCTGACACTGAGTTACTGGCCTGGGTCACTGGCTCTAAAGGCACACCCTGGGCCTGGGTCCCTGGCACTAAAGGGACACACTGGGAATCGGTCCCTGGCACTGAAGGCACAACCTGGGCCTGTGTCATTGGCCCTGAAGACACAATCTTGGCCTGGGTAAATGGCTCAAAATATACACCCTTGTCATGGGTCAGTGGCCCTGAAGACACACCCTTGGCCTGCGTCATTGGCCAAAAAGACGCACCCTGGGCCTGGGTCACTGGCCCTGAAGGCACACCCTGGGCCTGGGGCACTAATGCTTAAGTCACAGCCTGCACCTGGGTCACATATGCTGAAGATGGAACCTACCAGGGTCATGGGCTCTGAAGATGGATCATTGGCTTGGGTCACGGACACTGAAGACGCATCCTGGGCCTAGCCACTAGTCAAAAAGATGCACCCTAAGCCTGGGAGACTGGCCCTGAAAGTGCACCCTTGCCCTGGGTCACTGGTGCTGATGGCACACCCTGGGCCTGGGTCACAGGTGATGAAGGCACACACTCAGCCTGGGTTACTGGCCCTGAAGACACACTTTTGGCATGGGTCACTGTCCCTGAAGACACTCCCAGGTCCAGGGTTGTTGGCCCTGAATGCACACCCTTGGCCTGGGTCACTGGCCCTGAAGGCACCCCCTGGGCCTGGGTCACTGGCACTGAGGGAACAACCTTGGCCGGGGTCACTGGCACTGAAAACGCACAGTGGGCCTGAGTCACTGGCACGGAAGGCACATCATTGGCCTGGGTCAAAGGTGCTGAAGACGCAATCTGGGCCTGGGTCATGGGCCGTGAAGATGCACCCTGGGCCTGGGTGCCTGGCGCTTAATCACACTCATGACTTGGGTCAGTGACCCTGAAGAAACACAGCCTGGGTCACTGGCTCTGAATATACAACCTGGACTTGTGTGTCTGGGCTGAAGTCACATGTGGGCTTTGGCCACTGGAGCCGAGGGCACACCCTGGGCCTGGGTGACTGGCGCTGATGGAAACACTGGGCCTGTGTCACTGGCCCTTCTGACACACATTTGGCCTTGGTCACTAGCCTTGAAGACACACTTGTTCTGGTTCACTGCCCCTGATACCACGGGCCTTGGTCACTGGCACTGAAGGCACACCCTGGACCAAGGTCACTGTCCTTGAAGACACACACTTGGCATTGGTCACTGGCCATGATGACACACACTTGGTCTGGGTCACTGGCCCTGATACACACCCTGGGCCTGGGTCAGGGAGCTGAAGCCACACACTGGGCCTGAATCAATCGTGCTGAAGGCACAACCTGGACCTGTGACACTGGGTCTGAAGTAACAAGCTGGGCTTGAGTCAGTGGGGCTGAGGGCACACCCTGGACCTGGGTCACTGCCCTCACTTGGTCCTGCCATCTCCTAGTTCTAACTTTTCCTGGTCCTGCCCTCTCATATTCCTGTCCTCACCAAGGCCTGCCCTCACCTGGGCCTGCCCT